TGCTGAGACACTTTAGACGTCATCATTGTCAACGATGCACAAAGGCGAGCCCCGACCACGACCACGACAACGACAACAACGACGTCAACGTCGACGACCACGACTACGACCCCGATCCTATGCCGATTCTGCTGGCGATGCTGCAGCAGAGTGGTGAGGGAAAATCAAGGAAAACCCTTAAGTGATGTTGCTCTGCATGGAAAAGCCGACCCAGCGGCAAAACTACGACAAGAAAAACTCGACCTTAGGGTAAGGAGAGAAAACTGCGCAGATACTGTCGAGGGGTGTAAACAACTTTATTGATAAATTGCAATTTCTCAGCCGAAGCTGAACGAAAAAGACAAAAGCCAACAAGTTTACAATTACCTTTTGTCCTCAGGAAATTCTCTGTGAAAACTACTATTACACAAAAACGTAAAAATTTGCGTAACAATAAACTTTTTCAGATTTATAGATATATAATAGGCCGATCCCCAGCACTTTCCCATTACTGGTGAGCAAGGCTTAAGTTCAGGGTGTCCCTAATTTGCATGACAACAGACAACAGTGGCCCACTCGACGGATACACAAGGATACGCGAAACGCGAGGGTTGCGGCTCAAGGACCCAGCCAATGGGTGTGTCCTTGCCAATAATAACAAGCATTTGGTATTGCTCATTATCCCGTCATGTGTGAATTCGGAAACGTGCAATTTTAGAAAGGGCGTCGTCGCCTCAAGCGGAAATGCAAGTTTTCCAATCTTTTCACTTTTCAATGCCTTCGACGAGTTCTTACAAAATTATGACGCAGTTTATAGTTTTCATTTTTATTATGTTTTTGCAGCCATTGTTGAAGGATTTAAAAAAGCATAACTATGATTTATTTCCGGCTTTGGGAAATGTATACTACTGCGTTCCAACAATGAAAACACTCGGTTCCCGTTCGACTCGGTCCGAACAGATGGACGTATAGCGAAAAGGAAAATGCGATTTCACATTTTTTAAACAGCCAGGACGAATGGGGTAGTTGTTTAGGAAACTTTCTATGCTTTGTTATCATTATTATTATCTCAGGGAGCTGAGGCGGTATTATGAAGGTCTTTCATGGCACTCTAATTTTCAATGCAATCCAGTTCTGATATTTCCATTTAAATACACCTAAGGGTCGACCAATTTAATTTCAGTCATAATTTATGCATTTTAAGAAACAATTTGTGTGAAAATCTCTGGCTTGAATAAGGTATAGCTAGCCGATTAAGATTAAAAAGATATACGCAAAATGAATCGACAGTTTAATAATTGGGAGAAAACTCATTTCTCGCGCTCCTACAATTAAATGGAAAAACTTATGTACTCTCCTAAAATAATAAACATTCTTAAATTACGAAAATATTTATTAATATAATAATAGGGAGAGAACAAAGTCCTACATAAGTGCAGATTAAACCCGTACATCAATTTATATCATATCATCTAAGCATATCACTTCATTCTTTAAATAACGGTTTGGCTTGAATTTAGAGAAATAACTTTCCAATCGATAAAGATAGCTTGATTTAAATTTGAAAGACTTGACTTAAATTTGACTTTTTGCACTCAATCGAAACAGTTCATTCATATTGTACACTTATTTTAGTGAGCCAAGTACCACTGACCTAAATGATGTAATCGCTTACGGTTATAATATTAAAAGTAGATAAAGTTATAATTGTATCCAAGAATAAATCAAAAACAATTAATAAATAAATAAAGTACATAATATCGTGAGAGTAGCATTTTTAAATGATTTATCAATTCACTGATTGAAAGTCAAACAATTTGCACTCTACGGAAATGTGAAAGAGAGTTGGGTTAATCCCCTGGATCACAATTGGCAGCCACACATTGAGGCTTAGTGTTCCGCATATTGGAGATCAGTCTGGAAAGCAATTTACTAATCCGTCAGCATTCTACTGTGGCCCGAAATGGAGATATCCCAGCGACCTGTGAGTATGTTGGTTCTGAGTCTGAATTCTTTTCTCTGGAGTTGCTGGAGGAATTGAGTGAGTTTATTCCACTTTCAAGGACCTATTTTAAAAAGATGATGAAGGCAAGCAGAGTTTTTGAGGCTACCTGGCTGCCTAAATAAATGTTAAAGCACTGTTGCAAGCCTTAGAGCGTATGGCGACAACTTTCGCCTAAAAGTCAGACTACTTGTATAGTTAATTGAGCATTTGGAGTAAATATAAGAGAAATTGGGCTGATGGCCCAATCAATATCATATTGTAATAAGCCATTAAAAACTTTACTAATTTGTACATTCATAGGCAACTACATACGTCCCGACAGACACTAACATATTATATACATAATACATACAAGTACTTGTATGTATTTTTATGTGGCACCATAAATTAAGCGTCAGCCGACAGATCTAGAGTATTATCACAAGTGCTTCCCATATAGTTATGCGTGATGTATGAGAGCACATGAATTTTAATAAACATTTCAACATTTGCTTCTGATTGTGAGCCATTGTCGAGCAATGCCAAATGCCAAATGCTATGCATATGTATATACTTATTTAATAACACAATGGTTTCCTTTGTCTCGCACATTCGAAACGAGTACATGCACATGTTTATGCTTTTGTCAAATGATCTATAAATTTGTTTGAAATATTACAAATTACGGAGCTCTTAGCTACAGAGGCCTCATCCACTGTCGGGTCGCCGAAGGTCAGTGAAGTCGTAAAGTAAAATTTGTTATTTATACCCGAGGCGATGACACAAAAATCGGCTAAGGAACATAAATTTTCGTACACAAATTTACATGGAAACCTTCCACAATTCTTACGGTGCGCATATCTCGTGCACTTTATGACTGAGTGTTGAATTACAAACACACACAAGCCCAAGCCACTTGCCTCAATAAGATGTTGAATTATGTCCTCCTTCTGGTATATGTATGAAGTCATAATATTTTATATTTTATTAACAATAAGATAAAATATAGTTGCATCATTTTGATTACGCAACATAAAATCAGGGACACATTTTGCAACTGGCGCCACAGATAAGCCAGAGTCATATAAATATTATCAAGCATGGACTACATAACTAAATCATATCCGTGCCCCACAATTTAATATGCCCGATGGAGTGTGAGAAACGCTTGAATATTTCGAGCAACTTAACCTAATTAGGCACTGCCTTCATATCTGCGATGCATTTCGGAATAAGTACGGACAGATGGAAGTGCTTCACAAATTCCAATTCCAGTTCTTACCAACCCCATAAGACTCAATTCTAAAATTTAACATTTCTAACATACGATTCAGAGATGCTGCTCGCTTGCCGATGTCCATAAATCACTTTACATTTATTTGGCAACTTTAATTTTAATTAAAATAGAATGGAAAAGCCCTTAGGAAGCTTCACACCCATACCCCCACCCACTGCCCCACTGCCGCTGGCATTGTGGGTGCCGAGAACGACAATTTTCTCAAAAGAAATTTCAAATCTCTTTGCCAGTTTCGAAAATAGCTGCGAGCGTTTCGACGCCTCGCCCAGGCCATAGCATTTGGATATTTGGATAAAAACATAATTATATCAGAAGGCGCGTAAGCGTTTCGGGTCATAAATCAAAGGCATTGCGGCAAGTATGTTTGTATGTATGTGCCGCGGGACTGGGTAGCAGCAGCGAAAATGGAACCGTTGCCATCGCTGCCTGCCACATGTAAAACGGGTAAGTTTCGAGGACCACAAATACGCGCATCATTTGGCAGCACATGTGGCAAGTACGCGAACGTGAAGGCAAACGCTCTGCTGCAACTTGTAGATGTGGCTGAAGATGATTTATGTTGCAGTTGCAGTTGCAGTTGCATTGTGGCACGTCCGTCCACCCGCCGTCACGCCAGCAGCCAGCAGCATCTGCGCCACCAACTGCATCGACTGCATGGCAACAAGCGACGCGTTTAACCAGCTGTGGCCGAGCTCGAGCACTCCATGCCACATGTGGAGGCCGGTCCTGCATATGCCACACATACCCGCACTCTCGTACTCGCTCACAAGTACACACATCCGCAGAAATCCACAGAAGAGGCCAATTTAGAACAAAAGACTCCATCGCTAATGAACCCTCATTTGAAGATGCAACAAAAAGCAAATTAAAACGCCAGCGCCGAGAATCCGCCTTCCTCATTCCACCAACACTCTCTAATTTGCCATTTCGCAACAATTAGAATAATTAATTCGCCAATTCGCGATAATTTGAATCATTAATTTGTAAACACCAATTAACCAACGATGGGAATTCTTTAACGAATTGACGCAGAAAAATTATTCAAGCGCTTTTATTCTCTTCACCCACTTTTTGTGAGAATTGATTGCGAAAATGGAATGTAAAAAGTGGAATATTTAATTTTTAAAAAAAATGGAATTTTATGGAACATTATCGGACACTTAACTAATATAAATAATGAAAATAATAATTACATTTGACGTGAAAATATTATAAGAAATCGCAAACTGAAATTGTTGTTTATGATAAAAACAAAATAATGAGATTTTTTAAAATATCTAAATAAGTAACCGATGAAAGTGATTTTGTCTTTTTCTCTTTCTGGAAGCTAACAGTTTAGACTCCAAATCGTGTAAATAAATAGCACAACCAGAATTGTATGTATTTAAAAAAAAAAAATAATAAAAAAAAGAAAGAATTGAATAGGTGTATGTAAATAAAAATTAGCTTCGAAATTTAAATTCTATAACATAGTCGTTACAGAAGATGTTTTCGCCAGATAAGAGCAACCTATACTTGTAGGTTGGGGGGTCTTGGTAGGTTTTCTAGGCTCTACAGACCTCAACTATTTTACAGACAAAAGTGGACTGAGGACGACATAATGCAATGCAGGCAATAAAATGAGATACCAGAGCTGAGTGCTATGATAATTAGACGGAGGGAAATAATATATTCTCTTTCACAGCCATCTTTTAAGTACCACAGCAAATATTTGTAGTGAAGTGGTAGCTAAAGACTAACCTTCTAAAGTATCTATTTGGAGTTTCTGAACAAAATGCCTTGTTGGAAAGGTGAATCGCTGATTCCCAAAGGTGGTTTGCAGAAAGAATCACTCCAATGTCGCATATTTATTGCTTAATGATTTTTTTCCAGTTTCCGCGAAACACAGGATGTTTAACAACTTGGACTAAATTGTATAAAGAACAACAATTTGTTACACACATATAATTAATACTATATAATAAAATGTACCCATATCGTTCTTTTGTGGAACTGCCACTCAAACTGCAGATCTAATATTTTGTGATTCAGATACAAATTCTGATACAGTTGGCCATTTTTTAGGCCCGTAACTCAATTTGCTGCGGAGCATGCAAATCGGATTGAGCGTATTACATAATTGCTAATAGCTGTTGCTAAGATCGATCGCGACAGAGATTATTCAGTAATCGGATCTGTGGACGGAATGAAACTCATAATACTTGTACTGCTATGTACTGCTGTTACAGGAGCGAACAAGAACTCAAAATTGCAACAATTCAAAACTATTTGCGATGAAATTCTCAAAATCAATCCTCAAAGCCTGTTCTGCAATAACCTAACTATATGGGACATCCCATTAGTAGTCACATGCATTGTTGATTGGACGTGGCAGGCTCTGAGCAACACGATGGGATTGATCAAAGGCTTGGAGACTTGCGGTGATATCACGACTGCTAAGATAGGTGAGATTGGCGGTGAACTTAAAGAAATCATCAAGCACAGCGGCATAGTTGTAACGGCTTGCATGATCCCAGCAAATGAGACCGCTTCTCCACCGTTTTGTGAATTCAATATTATGTCAGCATTCACCTCAATAATTGGAACTATACCCCGCATCTTTCACATCATTGGGAAAATACCGCAGAAGTTTCTCAATTCAAGCATGTGCTTTAAGAATTTGTTCAATGTCTTCTTTTTGCATTACACAAACATTCAAGCTCAGATTTTGGACTGCACTCAGAAAAAGCAAAAGCTATATAATACAACAATGCCCATTTTGTCAAAAAATAATCAAAAACAAAAAAAAAACAATAAATGAAGCATCTGCATAAAGGTGACAAAATTATAATTAAATTGTATAGCTATGGGAACATAAATAACACTCAACAGCAGTAGGATGAGCCGAAAGAACTAATGTAAGGCATTGGAGAGATTTTGAAACTAAAGTCTGATTTGAATCATTAATGGAGTTTAAAGTAAATCTAAAATATCATCTTCAAACACAACTCGCAAATGCATTTATTTGTATAAAAATAAAACTTATAAGTTATTTCCGATAACCCTTAGATTCTTCTACATCATATACATACTTGTACTTTAGTTTATTTTAAAAGCATGCTGTTTCGTTCGGAAATTTTTCAGAAAAAACGTATTATTTTTTAATTTTATAATTAAGACATTTGGATTCAATCTACTACTATAAAGCAATTGGTCAAGAGATTGGTTAGGAACTTATATTGTTTGGAATAAATAATGCTTATAAAAAATATATACTATGTACATTGAAAACTCCCTTTTATCCGATCTCTTCGGCGGACACTTTTTCTAAAGCATTCGATCGGTGTATAAAGTATTTAAGTGAGTGTCCAGCCAAGAGAGTTTTCACTGTATACTACTTATAAAAATAATGAAACTAGATAGACGTATTTGGCTATTCCCTTTGTCAAATTTCTTGATAAATTTAACATATTGTCTTCAATATTTTTATATCAAATTGTGGAATAAAATGGAGCAACTGCAAACTTCGAGCTTTGCTTTGCAAACCAGATTAATAATCCAGATTTTAGTTACAGTCCACGCTTTCTATGTGAATGATTTGGACTAACCCTGTTACACTAGCGAATCGGATTGAAGGCATATTAAATCAGATTTGTCATACATGGGCAAATTAATGAAATTGATTAGCACTGTATATTGTAGAGAAGGTCTACCAATACATATTACCAGTTCAGCACGCCGTAAGCCACGATGAGATTCTTGGCTATCACGTTGCTTTGCATTCTAGCTGCTAACTCTCTAAATGCAGGCCAACTGAGACAGAAATGGCTCAGACTTTGCGACTATCTGGGCATAAAAGATGCTGCGCACATATTGTGCAGGAAAGCAAGTATCTGGGATCTTCCGAAAGTTATCAAATGCAACGTCAAGTGGGTGGAGCAGGCTGTGAAGAGAACTTCGAGTGTGCCGTCGGACCTAAGTAAATGTGACAAGGCCAGTGCTGTGCCCGAGCTAACAAAAATAATTTCGAAAATCTTCCAAGAAGCCAAGGATATACTCTGCACATGTGTCCCTCATGAGGCCTTTTGCGAAATGAAACTTGCTGTGAAATGCGCTACACTGTTATCATATATTATTCAAGGCCTGCATCTAGCCAGCAAAATTCCAGCAAATACCGCTTCTTGCCTAACCACGACGGTGAAAACATTTGTCGATCAGTTCACACATGCCGTTACCGTCGTTAATAATTGTGTTGAAGGAAACGGAACTCTAAACCTAGCATAACCGTTTGTAACCACTTACAGGGCCATTTGTATGAATAGAAAAAATATATCAATCTTTAAACGAAAATTCAAACAAATTCTTTTTCTTTTCAACTATGGCTTAAAAAAATGAGCATAATAATAATGAAAATAATTTTAATGTAATAATAATAAAAATGAGGATTAATGTATGCATTAATAATTAATTCATATTACTATAATTATTATATTTTTCGTAACGGTAACGGAAAGGAATTCTGTAAATTTCTGTTTTTAATATAATTTATTGATAATTAATAATTCGCTTGATTTCTGTTGTCCACAGTTTTTTTTTTTTTTTTTTTTATTTCTTTTTGTGAGTTTTTCTTAACACCTATTAGTATTTTAGCCTCTTAGCTTCAGTAGCATTTTAATAATTTTTGTCTTAGCTTGAAAACTTATTTGATCGTAAAAACATAGGAACTGGCGCCCGTCATGCCATTTAAAAGTCCTTAGATCAGATAGTTGGCTGATAGATCATTGTCATAGTCTTGAGTGTTTAGCTTGTGAAACTATTCGGTTTATTGAAATATTTGCCTACAAATTTGGTGCAAAATATCAAAAATATAAAAATATCAAGCCGTTTTATGGAACTGCCGGTCGTATAAATAATTTTGATAGCTAAAGGGCTTAGCAAAAAGGTAGCGTTAAAATTTTACCATTTGATGAAATTTTAAATTTTTGTGTGATTATAACTAATTGTATGTTGTCTTGCTATATAGAAAATAGAAGTCTCACGAGTTTAATACTTTTCTCCCTTTGCAAACAATAAGGCCCCCCTTTCTTTACACTCTCCACAGGCGCCCCTTTTATCACTTCGGTGGCATCGTATTGTGAGAACGGGGTGCGATTTCCCACAGTATATTATGTTCGGATCAAAACATTAGGGAGCCTTCCCCCTACGGACTCGAAATGGATACGAGTATTGGGGAGCTGATTATATGGAGTTTTTTCTTCAAAGCTCAGCTTAAATACATCTACAATCTTATTACTGTGACCAGAAGAACTCTTGGCATCGTTGCTGGCCCTTTTTGGCCATCGTCTTGCTGCTGTTGCTGTTGCCATTGTTGTTGTTGTTGTTGTTGTTGTTGCCGCATCTATTGCTGGTGATGCTGGTGCGGCAACTCGTCATGTTGCTGGGGAATCAAACACATAAATAAATCTGTCAAGTGTTGCGCATAAATATCTCGACAACATGTTGTTTTGCTTTGCTGCTGCCTCTGCCTCTGCCTCAGGAGGTAGTTGATGCTGCTGTTGTTGGTGTTGTGGCTGCTGCTGTAATTGTCGTTTGTTGCCGTTGCTGTTGTTGTTGTTGTTGCTGCTGCTTTAATTAAATGCTGCAATCAAGTGCGCAGGGTAGCGATATTTCCAATGAAATATTACGAAAAAGTGGCAAAAGCTGAAGCGACAGCAACAAAGATGCCAAGACACACACACACACACACACACACACTGACACACTTGTCCGCCTCATCACGATGTGTATGGGTGTGTGCGTGTGTTGCACATTTGTTTGCTGTTGACTTTGCCACTTGCCCTGCCCGGCTGGTGCCTACCAGGGGACGACAATGTCGTCGTCGTCGTCATCGTCGTTGCCGTTGTCGTCAAAGTGCCGTTTGCCTCCGCCGTCCCACCTCCCCCGCAACTCGCTTGCTCTCGATGTATCCAACAACCAAGTGAATTAAATTCATAATTAATGCGTTGCATGCACGCACACACACGCACATACAACCAGAAACCAGCAACCAGCCATACAAATTTCGTGCCACCGCTCCTCACTGCCCGCTGACGACCATTGAGCTCTCGGGTCTTTTGCCTGACACGTTTATTAAAACCGATTTTTGCTTTATTTTGTTGTTATTGTTGTTGATGTTTTTTTTTTTCTTCATGCGACTCTTGCCGGGTTATTGTTGCTTTTGTTGTTGTTGTTGTTATTGGTATTGTTTGTTGCTGCTTTTGTTTGCTGGCCTTTTCACATTTCACAATTCTTATAACGAATTTTGATTTTGTGCCAAAAGCACGCAATTAGAATTTTGTTGCCTGCTATTGCTGTTGTTGTTGTTGTTTTTGTTATTTTTGTTGTTCGCCATTATGCGTGTTTTGCTTCTGCTTCTGCTCTTGGTCTTGTGCAGAGGCACGCAACTGGCCCTTAGAGCAACAACAAGAGCCACAACAGCCGGAACGGAGCTCTGACCACGGCCCCATCCCAGCAGCAATAATTTAGACCCAGAAAGTGTGTTTGTATGTGTATGAGTGAGTATGTGTGTGTACCTTCGTGTATATAATTACAATCATGTATGTAATTAATAACTTCAACTAACCCAAAACTAACTTACATTTCTTACATGTAAGTATTTGCATTTGTGGAGGAAAGTAAATATCTGTAGAGTCGGAAGGTTGAGACTTGGGGGGTCGAGCTAATTCCGCGTTCAACTCATCTATTTACTTATGAATAGAATATTTTTCTACAATTTTTTAAAGACCACCGAAATACATTTTAAGTTTATGCATAGAGGTGCTAAATAATTTATCTTTTAAAATTGGATTGGGAATTGCTATAACTTTGTATACCCTTCATAATTCAATATCCTTCCAAAGTATCATTTTTATAATGCCTTTTGTGATATACCTTTAATGTGAGTTTGACAAAAAATTTATTGGTTTGGTTAGTTTAGTTATCTAACTTAGTTAATAGTAATTAAGAAGTTAAAACATATAAAACAATGAAACATTTTTGTTTTAAGGAAATACATTTATTTTTCCCTAATCCCCATGAAAAATAATATTTTTCTAAAAACATTGGAAATAATTTAAATTCAATGGATTTTTTTCTTGTGGAAAACACATATTACTCGTGTTTTACTCGTATTATTCCCAATGAAAAGGAGCCCCGAATTGGTTTGTTTTTAAATTCATAATATTTCCAATTTATTCATTTTGCAACAATATCGAGAAATTTTTATTACATTTGGACTATTCTTATGGGAGTCTTTTATGATAAGAGTTCCTTAACAGAGCCTTTCGTTAGCTTTTCTTTGGGAAAATAACAATCTTTATGTACGTTCGAGTAGGTTCTATGGGTTCGAACTAGAGTTGGGCACGGGCCGTGTTTTTTGTCGTGGCACTTCGTGCCACGCGTGGGCCCGCGTGTTCGTGTTGTAAATTCCGATTTCGTGCGTGGCCGTGCGTGTTCGTGTTGAGCCAAAAAGGCACGACAAAACACGCACGAGGAAAAACGAAAGAACACGAACATAGCACGAAATAAAATGAACAACTAAAGTAATAAAAAAACGAATGTTGGGTAAATAATCAAAATATATCGATAATTCGATTACTTTTAGCGTTTGCCCATATTTAGAACACAAGCTATACACATTTTTAGACAATTCATGTTACGATGTCCCAAAAACACAAAGTAAAATTGCAAGATGCAATCCGTAATAATGATCCGCGTTGCAAGTTAATTACGCCCGAAAACGCAAAAAGCGTGGTGTGGAAAACGTTTGCACAAATTGAGTACAACAATAATCTTGAGGAATTTGTTTGCTGCAGCAAATGTTAAGCTATTTTTGCTTACACGTCAAAAACTGGAACAGGCACACTTCTGCGACACAAATGCGCAAAGCCCATTTCACCTACACAATCAACACTCAACGCATTTTCTAAAAAGTTTGTTTTAAATTTTTATATTTAATATATAAAAAGTTCGTGTTGGGCCGTGTTGGGCCGTGTTAAGAAAAATTTTCGTCGTGCGTGCGCGTGCGTGTTTCTAAAAGCTAATTTCGTGGCCGTGTCGTGTCGGGCCGAAAATAGCCGGCCCGTGCCCATCTCTAGTTCGAACCACTACGTAATCATCATCGCAGAAGCATGATATTCGAAGTCAAGTGTTAATATAAAATTTCACATTTTTCCCACCGAGGGCAGATCTTAAATAGTTAATAATAGTTAATAAATAGTTAAACAAAAAAAGCAGAAAAGATTTATCTCTATATGATTTAAATAGTCTGCATGTTGAGCTAGGTTATTTATTGAACAATTTTTAAAATGTTATTCAACACATTTACAGAATGGGTGAAATATATGAGTAAAAACGGTTGATTTACATTATTTCGTATACTTTTCGAGATCCTCTTCTTTAACAGTCAGAATATATGCTTTCTGGCGTTTGTCAAGTCCAGGTCTTGCAGGTATTATTCATATGTAATATTCATATGTTCCTAAAAACCAGTGTACCACTGTTATGGGACAGGCTGAGAGTAAGTCTCCACTTATCTCGCTTATCAATCTGATAAAGGATATCCATATATGTACATAGTTATACTTTGTGAATATGTCGAATATCTCCAATTTCATTAAACATTTCTACCTACCGGATTTAGAGGGCGAAAATGTCCTTTTTGTGCAGTGTAGCATATAATATTTTAAATTCGTAAGTACATGTTGGCATTCAACTGAACTCTGACATTTTCAAGTCGGAGAAAAAGTTGTCACCTAAGTAAAGCGTACGCAAAATTTACGACTTTCCGCAACTGTTCCCCACCATTGCGACATCATAACGCATAAATTGTGGCACATGCCCGACGCAAATGCAAAAACTCTCACCCACCCGCCCTCAGTCTCTCCTGCCCTCCCCCTTCCCCTTCGTTGTCAGCCTGTTGAATAATTTAGCAGCGATAATAAGCACCTGCACCTGCCCGGACAGCAGCAGCAGAGGCAGCAGAGGCAGCTGAGCAGCAGCAGAGCACCAACAACTATATATCCACAACCACGTCCATGTCGCCCAGCCATAGAAAAGTCTCGCAAAATTTATCGACTCGTGCGTCCTGTTGCGTGCCATGCAATTTTATTGTGGGCGTGTCCCCCATTTCACGTCCCGCTGTCTGCTGTCCGCAGTCCGTTGTCCACTGCCCGCCGCATGCATTTTATGCACTTTATCATTTGCCTGCACTGCACTTTGTTTTATTATTTATATTTACTATAATTTTCCCGACTGGCCAACAACAACAACAGCAACAAAGAAAATACAGCAACAGCGTCAGTGGCGGAGGCAGAGGCAGCAACAGCGCCAACAACAACAACAATAACAATAGCATACGTGCTTGATTTCTTTTCATACAGCCAAGGGGCGTGCCGGGGAGGCATTGGAAGCGCAATAATTATAATTAAATGCATTTTTACGTGCAACATTTTCGCTTTGGCTCGCTTTTTATGCAAATACATAATTGTACACCTACCTCTACAAAAGGCAGTCGAGAAGCAATTACGGAACTTTGCGCTTTTCACGTTCAACTTTAAGCCCCAGGGCTGCAGATTATTTTCACCCCATTGTGGGAGGGATGAAGAATGAGGAAGAAATGCATAAGTGCAGCCGTAGATATGCAGACAATAAAAATGTTTTTGAAGTTAATTTAAATTATTTATTTTATTTTTAAACACGATATACATATGAGGATTTATGGGAACCATAAATTATGATAATGATAATTATTATATCATATTTTTCAGAGTACGAAACACTTCCAACTCTGCACAATTTAATGAAAAGCTACGAAATATTTCAGTTGTAAGTATGATTTTCAATTCTATATTGCTTAAATAATTAATCAATGGAGTGAAAACAAGAAACGAATGCCTATATATACCTATAACTTTTTTCATAAGAGAGCTATCATGATGAACTTGGTATACGGATGTGATTACCAAATTTGTTCGAAATTCCAAGAATTAGGCGAGTAAGAGAAAATTGCGAATAGAAGGGGAATGGGGAAGTGTATTGGAAAAAGTGAACAAACTTGCCCTTTCTTGGGCTTAGGAGAATCTGCATACCAAGTTTGGTTATTCTAGCTCTTATACTTTCTGAGATCCTTGCGTTCATACAGACAGACGGACAGACAGACGGTCAGACGGGCATGGCTATATCGACTGCTTCTGTGTGTTACTCTCGCACAAAACTTATATAACAAGGTATAAAAATTCTGAAAAAAGACGATATATTACTCTGAGTATCTACTCCGTTCTTAACAGGGTTATGTCTTCCACTGTAGGCCCAGCTGACTAGGCTGCTTTGTGCTTCCATAGCCTACATATCCATGATTGCTAAGAGACATTATCCATGGGTCCCGCAGCGTCGACCCAACCGCAATGACAGGCAGCCCACAAACAGAAATTATGGGGCAAGCATAAGAGAGACGGAGGCAACAGTAGCCAAGGAACTGCAGCAGCCACAAACAGAAAGTCTGTCCGTCCACGTCCGTGCGGCTGATCGTTCATCCGATCGTTCGTTCCATGCTCCACGGCACGGCACGGCATGGCATGGCATGTCGTATCTTTTGTGCTAATCGTAAATAACTGTCGAAATTTTTTGCTACTGTATGTGATTTGCACATGGCATGAGGATGAAAAGGAGTTGCTGAAGTGGTTCGGTTAGTTCGTTGGTTGGTTGGTTTGTTGCTTGCTTGGATGCTTGGTTGGTTGGTTGGTTGGTTGGATGCTGCTGCTGCCTCACCTTAACGGCTTCGGCTGTTGTTATCTTTGACTTTGACGTTGCTTCGTTGTAGTTGTTGTTGGTATTATTGTTGCTGTTGCTGCTGCTGCCTTCCATTCGGGGGTCGGGGTCTCTTTTTATGCGCACCTTAAAAACCAACAAGATACTTAATTTTCTTTTTTTTTGCGCTGCCTCGTGAACGGGGCACACTTCACTTATGGCAACGCAGCTAAAGGTTGCACACACCGATACACACACACACAGAGGCACAGCTGGAAACCGGAGTTGGAGCTAGAGTTTGGGTGCAGCAGCTCGCTCCAGAGCATTCAAAGAAAAAACACGTTTGGCTTTAATTCTTTTTATTTATTTTCACCGTCATGTGTTTTTCGCTTGCTTGCTTTCTTTTCGTTTTGGACAGCTCAGCACACACACACACACACATATGTTTATATGTACATATATTGTGTATCTGCGAGATACTTTTTGTGTTGATGACGCTGACAAAGGTCTGACTGACTGCAAACGCCCCACCGAACGTAACAAACGTCCGACTGCCGACTCCCGGCCCCTTCGACCCCCAGCCGAGGCTGAGGCTGATGCTGGGGTTGGGGCCAACCATACAGCCGTCCGCCCCGGTTGCCATACGCGATTTTAATGAAGCACTTAAAAAGCATAAATGAAAATAAAAACCCAACAAAAGGCAACACAAGATAGCCCCAGACTCCAGCCTCTTACCCGACCACATCAACATCCACGAAGACAACAACTACAAAAACCAAAACAACAACAGCAACGACAATTGATGTGGAGCCTGTGCCAGTCAGTCAGTCAGTCAGCCTGCCTGCCTGTCGTTGATGTGTTGTCCCCCCCCCCCTTCCACCTTCCCCCGCCCACACTTAGATACATTACTTTTTATTGTCGAAGTTTTGTGCTGTTTGGCTACGAGTTTCGAGCCACATCTCGTCGTGCCCGCGCCTCAAATTAATTCTAATCTAGCAAATTACGGTGGCCAGCGCAAGGAGCATTTATGCAGTCGTAAAAATTAAAGACGCACTTGCTCCTCTCTGCTCTGCTCCGCCCAGGGACATCACAAAAGTATCTCTATGGAAGTGCGTGTGCGTTCATTATGCGGCCTAACGCTCTCCGTACATATCTCAATCTTACAGATAGGAGGACAACACAGTACCAATAAAATGGGAGACATTAAAAATATTAACAACAGCCAAGAAGTGCAGGAAGTTTCTCCAAAACAGTGCTGTGGCTGTGGTGGCCGGGGGACGGACCAGGAGGCTATGGTTGGATTGATAGAAAGACGGAGACGGACGTGGCCCGTCGATGTCAATGTCATGGGGACAGTTTCGAAGCATTATACAATTGACTGGCAGGTAGTGGAGTGAGGAATGCTTTCAGATGTAACTACTAGACAACCACTCTTAGCCCAAAAAAACCAAAAAACAAAAAATCGAAATCCGATAAGCTCTTCAATCTCAATGGAAACCAAAACAAACATACTCGTGTACTATGCCAGATTAGAGCTTTGCTTTTCAAGTAATTTCAGAAATTCCTCTTCCTATGCAATTCATTATTTGAATTATCACGTATGTGTATAATTAAATATAACTACATATTCTATTATTAAAAGAATTTTTTAAACATTGAAAATCATTTTTTAATAATATATTTGTATTAACAACAAGTTTTTCTTATTGATCCAGAAATTAAGTTAAAGTTCAATTGCAAATGTTGTAGTTATATTTGTTGAAATAGTTGGTGTGATCAGAAATATTGAAATAGCTAATTAATATGAATTATTTTGATATTCTTAAATAACGGAGTTAGTCTCAAAATCGTTACATTCAAGAGGTAGATTTGGCAGCTGAATGGAGCTAATCATAGACCCTGCCTCACCATCACAACATTCAGATTTTCACATAAGACAGCTGATGCCAAGGTTTCTCGGTTCGAACTTGCTTGATTTGAATCACCTTTCCGCATGATAATCTTAGTAATTTTGTTATAATATGAATGATATTCGGATAATCTAGCTGTCATCCACAATAGTGTTCAAATCTTTTTAATCCCTCAATAACGTGCAAATAAGCGTCGATTTTGTCAGTCCTGTGGGTAGGAACTGTAGAACAACTTTATACGCATGAACCAATGGTAATTTTATATAATACAGGGTGCTTTATTATGCCACATACAACTATAATACTAACTGGCTATCGATGCTTTGAAAAAGGAGCCAACATACTTGTAGGAATACTAATTGAATTCTGCACACACCCAAAAAACGTGCAGCCGCAAACGTGTGAATGATAGCCATACCTAGTCTTAAATCTCCTATTGAAACCGATGGACAAAGCAAACGTGAGCTCCGCTATACGCGTGGTAAAATTAATTTTACAAATTTTGTTTGGTAATTAAATGGGATATTCAAAAATTTCACTTACCAGAGAGAAAGACAAGCAGTCGTGCCGCATATTCAAAATTACCACATATGGGGGTAATTCAGTTAATATTCAAATGCATTTTCGCTGCTGTCACTCCGATAGTCCTATTGGGCGGGTGTACATATCCATTGAGTTAAATCGAAACACGTTCGGCGTGTGTTGGCCATTCAGCTTAATGATACAGCAATAATGGGATCTTATACATTTATGCGATCAAGTGGTTCATTAAAAGCAGAAGACGTACATCGTCTATTCGATTTATGTGCAAATGGTAATTTTTATGCGTTCTTTATGTTAAAACACCACACCATATCATGTGGGAACTGTGACACTTGCAACTGAGCACGAAACGCACGATATTTATGTCCATAATATGTGAGTGTTAAGTGAGTCTTGTAGTTACTTTCTTGGCAATAAAGGCAATTGTATGTATAGGTCATCACACACTATCAGCACATCCTGAAGAGCATCTGTAAAATATTAGATTTACTATCCAATTGGCAAAAGTCAGGTACAAAGATGTACATTTTATTTAATAATTATGTTATGGTTTAATTTAATGCATGGTATACGTGAGAAATTTGACAGAAGCAAAATGCTAGACAAATGTTATAGTACTATACATGATCACCATAACGAGACGAATCGCCGAATGGTGACCATGGACAACAATATGCAATATAAGTTAAAAATTTGTTCTAAAAAGAGATAGATAATACGAGAATACTAGTTAAGGGTAAATAGGTTTTTAACTATTTATGGGAATTCGATTCATTTAACTCTTAAACCTCGTTCTTACACGATAAAAGTTGAAAAATATTTTTAAAAAAAAGAAAAGAAGCGTATTACTTTAACTCACTTTTGTCTCGTTTAACACGATTTCGCCTAACACGAGGTTTTCTCCGTGTTAAGCGAGGATTAAGTCTACATCAAATGGAACTCAGCTGCGTCTAACAAAAAGTCCTTAAAATGGTTATAACCTTTGACAAAAGATTACTTGAATTGTATCCATCGATTCGGTGCTCAAAGAATGCTTTTTAAAATAGAAATATGTACATGCATATGTGAACAGAACACCCTGTATGTGCAAAACTTGCGTCGCCCACTTTTTGTACTTGGCTCGCAGCTAATGGCAGTGGGTGCAAGTGTTCCAATGCATCGGTCTGTGGGTATATACTATGTATGTATGTTTGTGTATGTACGAGTAGTTGTAGTGCGTGTGCTGCAACTGTGTGCAGTTGCGAGTTCATTGCACGTACATTGCACACATACATACATACAAACCTATGTGCATACATAGGCTACCAAAACGTTGGTTCGGTCGCGTGTTCGTTTAGCGTTGTTGTTATTGTTTCTGTCGCTCGTCGTTTCTGTTTTGCTGATGTTGTTGTTTAGACAGCCTGGGCCCGACCGAGCGCCCGACCGACCAACCAGCCGCTGCGCAGCTCAGTCGCCGTTGGCGTCGTGCATTTTGCTCTGTTTGCGGGCCTGCATTTTACTCTGCACTCATGGTTGCTCTTTTGTTTCGTGTCCGCGACGCTCTCCACGATTTTCGCTTCTAATGCGGCCCGAGCTTCAAGCTCCAAGCTTACTTGCAATCGTCGTCGCCTCCAAAGGCAGCGAGGCTGCTGCATATAACACACAGACACACACACACATAGACACATTGACACACACTATGGCCCCACAGCCGGAGTCGACGCCGGCATCGCTTTTGTTTATCGTTGCCTTTCTTTTGCGCTTGCTTTTTTCTGTTATTTTCTTTGAGTTTATTTTGTTTTTGTTTTTTGCAGTTTTGTCTCTTCCATGACGTTGCTGCTGGTACTCTGTCTGCTCTTCTTGCCTTTGTCCGTTTTTCTTCTTTTATTTTTTGTTGCCTGTTTTGTCGTCGTCTTATGTATGTACCACAGCACCGCCCTCTCCCCCTCCCTCAAACTATCGTCTCCACTGACTATGTAAAGCTGCCAACGTCGACGACAGCGTCGTTGTTGCTGCTGCTTCTGCTGCCGAACTGTTGCTGATTTTTTTGCACGTTCTGCCTGTTCTCTCTTCTCGCTTGCATTTTGTGTATCTCATCTCGTGTGCGCTTTCGCCGCTTTTGTGCTGCCGGCTGCCACATTGCTTTCCAATCTCTCGACGCTGCTGCGCCCCAACAGCTACACACAACAATAACAACTGCATGGGCACGCTTCGCCGCCATCGTCGTCGTTGGCGTCGTCGCCATCGTCATCGTTTTCTCTATTTTCCTCAATCGTTTTGTGCCTTTTCAATTTCAATTCGTATATTTTTGCAAACTCTACTTTCAGTTATTCGCCGATAATTGATGTCAAAGGACGCAGTTTGTGCTCCGCTGCTGCTGCTGCTGCCTTCACCGCCGCAAACATCGCCACCGTCTCTGCCCCTCCTATCGGTTGCGCATACCGTTGCATTAGCATTGCGTCGTCATGCCCAAGGAGGATCCTTTCGTGAATCGAGCTCAGCTGCTCAAGGCCATCAAGAAATATCCAGAGATCTGGGACTCCAACAACAAACTGCACATGTGCCGCAGCGTTACCTCGCCCATGTGGAATGAGATCGCCGAGCAGTTTGGCGGCCATGTACCCACAGGTAAGTGCGAAAGAGATGGCTGGTATACACTCAGTTACAGCTAAGTTTCCACTGGAGCTTGTGTGCATTTTAATAATACGCTTTTGGTTGAAAGTTGAGATTTTGATGCTTTGTTTTTGCAAGTTTCGTTTGTATGTACAAATGTATTTACATATGTATGTATGTATGTATGTACATACATGTACATAAGAAATAATGTACATATGTATGCAGATGCATATGGAAATTATAGAGTGGGAGAATTAGAATTTGCATATGTATGTACATTCACACATACATAAGTAAATTATACACATTCGTATATACATACATACATATATACGTATGTTATGTCAATATACGAGAATGTATATACGAGTACGTATGTATGTACATACATACGTATGTATAACTATTGAAATTAGATACACTGTGGTAACAAAATGGGTTATTTAATAAGCAATTGTTGTTATTGAAAATATTCGCCCCTTAGCATTCTTTGTTGATTGTAGAGAGACGAAGGGACAAAATCGGTAATACAATTCCCTTATGTACGAGTAAATGTGCCATACGTATGTAGTACATACATTGTGCATACTGTAAGGGATCTGCCACAATTTGAATAATTGTTTATAGTTCTTTTTTATATACATACATATGTACATACTTTGTATCAATAGATCATCACACTATTGTGACTACTTATTTTTTCGGCTTTATTACAAATATTTTCACAATATAAAGTCGACCAAACATTCATTATTATGACTATTTCGCCTTAAATGGAACTGAGTTGGATTTGTTGAAATCTTTCTATTGATCATATCATATATATATAAAGTTTAAACGCACCGTTCATTATTTAGTCAAAATTTAAATTTGGCCCCCTTTGGAATAATCCGCCTACGCCCTTGTTAATATATATTTACATATTTATGTATGTAGATAAGATGTAAGAAAATAATTTAAAGCAATCATTTTGGACCACAATTTCTACCCATTCTTTTGTGATTACATTTAATCTACAGTCAAGCTACAATCGATTTGGAGTCAAATGAAGTACCACTACCACAATCTCGTTCACCGCCAGATATTGCACAAAGAGCGCTTCAACACCAAATGGGAACACTTCGAACCAATGTCCTTTATGTACAACATAACCGTTGCCAAAATAATTGGCGCCCAGGCGAGTGGAGGCTCTGGAGCTGGTGCAGAACAACCAAATGAACAGCCGCAGATTCATGGGGGCCCACCAACTCCGCTGCCTCCACCCACGGCCCCACCATCTCCAGCATTACCCTCGGCATCGCATGGACGTGGACGTCCAAGTGGCAGCTTTACATGGCTGCCACCTACCACTGCACCTCCACCATCGCCTTCGCCGACAACATCACTGCCCAGCACTGAGTTGCCACATTTGATCGAACAGCCGCCCCACGGCTTGGGCTACACCGCCTTTACGGGTCTTGTGCCACCAGCTGCTATCACTGTTGTGGCGACCACCACGCCTATGCGGAAACTTGGCCGTCCCAGTTCGCTGCACAATAGCATGCGCGGGCGCATCATCGAGGCCATCAAGGCACGCCCGTCTCTCTGGGCAGGAAGACAACGCAGCGAGAAGGGTCAGGGCCAGAGCCGAACATCGGCCGTATGGAAAGAAGCGGCCAACGAAATGGGTCTGACACCAAGTAAGTTATATTACTATTATCACTATTATTGTACTACGACCAGATCAGGTTGCAGAAATGTCTCAGCTATCCAGTTAGAATTTGGAGATATTCCTTGCATTAGCATTAAAGAGTAGTTTCCAGGGGAATGGGAATAATTTATTATGCTGCCTTCCCATCTTCTGATCTCCACAGTGAGGTTCAGGCCTTGTCCTGAAGGGTTTATCTCTCAAGTTATTGCAGGTATCTACTATTCAAAAGTACTGTGTTTTCCGAGAGAGTTATTAGTAACAACTTTTTGTGATATATAGTACATATATAGTTTTAAAGTTGCTTTAAAGAACATTCAGTTGGTTAAGCTTAGGAATCGAATCTTTAAAGTTCACTGAACTGTTTAGCTTTTCATGACGCATCAACAAATATAAATTCATCTCTTCCGTAATGCAGCTCTAATGCAGACGCGTTGGTCCATCATCAAACAACGCTACGTGGACGAGCTGCAGAAGGAGCGTCACTCACAGTACAGTCAGCAAGGATTCCGCTCTAACTGGGAGCACTTTGAGCGCATGTCGTTTATGCGTGACATTCTGCTGAAGAAAGTGGATGAGCGCGAGCAGACTCGTGAGCACATCCAGGAGATGGTCAGCGAGCAACAGCAACACCATCATCATCAGCAGCAGCAACATCATCAACAGCAACATTTGAGTCACCAACATCCACAACACTTGCAGCACTACCGTCCACCAGTCTTACTGTCTGGAATGGCAGAGCATGCTCAGGACATGCCCATAGGTCTGGTGCAGCACCAAATGACGCATCCAGCACATGGCTCGCACCCGGCCCATCCCATGCATCCACATCATCCACAAGCTACTGGTGCCGCAGCAGCCGGCGCCGGTGCTCGACGACGCGTAAAGCACGAATCGGATCTAGAATGGGACCCCTTCGAAATGATCCTTCATGTGCATGGCGGCAACGGCGAACCGGCGGCCAACTGAGTCAAGACTGAGTCCATTGAGGAGAGAGAAAGAGAGAGACAGCGTAAACGCTATCGCCAGATATAAAACCAATTATTCTAATTCAGACCATTTTATATGCTAACTTTTACCACAACATAATCGAATAAAGGTCATAGATGATTCTTGACAAAGAAAACAAGCCACTCGGAGCTAACTTAATAAAGAACGATCTTAGGAGGGGTAGGGTTAGTCACAAAGAAGTTGATCATTTTTATGTACGATCAAGAATGAATTAGTCTAGCCAACTCGATTCTTGAATACCATGTTTTCAGCTTAACCTCCAAGAAAGGGAATTTCTGAAACGTCTATAATATGATAATAATAAATAAAATTAAATATATCCACACTTCGGCTTGCTGGTGGTGTGGGATCAATGATTAAAGATCAATGGTTTATAATTTATGCTTTAAGGTTATAATTGACTTATAGACTTATAGTTATAGAGTCAAGGAAGTATAACAACTAGCAAATACATCTAGTAGCCGTTGCTGAGATGATTATTAAATGGAACAATTGGCCTCCTCGACTTAAAAAAATCCCCAATGATGCTAATTTCCAGCATTGCGAAAATCATAAACATACATCGCCGCTAACCGAGATCCCAGACAAGGAAAAGGAAGGTGTGGACCACCCTCCCGCATACACAATTTTCTCTTTTGCGGCTGATGCTCTGTGGTTCTGGCACGCGCAATTCCAATCACGTGCCGCAGCAGAGAAAACTTTTCAAACTGTAAAACGTTTATCAAAACTCCTCTGTACTCCGCCCCCAAATTCCTCCACAATGCCAATGCCCCAACCATCCCCAACCCCGCTGCAATGCCGCGCTCATCAAGCGGACATAATTGCTTCGCTTGTCAAGCAAGGATTCTCTGGCACACGATCCGTCGTACCGTCCCGCATCCGCTTCATTCACGGCTCCCGCTCTGGCTCCGGCACCGGCTCCGGCTTGGCTGGCGTTTCTTCTTCAATAATAAATGCATTTTACTGTCGAATTTGCCGCATTCTGCACAACACACGTGCCTTAAATAATTCACGTCGCATTTAGCGGCGTTTTTCTAAGCTCTAATGGGCCCAGCGATTTGTTGGTCTACGCGGGGGGTATGGCTATAAGTGTGGGTGTTGGCGGGGGCGTGGCACGGTGCCAGGTAAGTGGAAAGTAGTTGGCTCCAGTTTTATATCTAGGCGTAGAATTTGCCTAAAAACTCAAGTAGTTTGTTCAAACTTTTATACTCCATACATTTATCAAAGCCGCCACGGATGACGCTACTTGGTTGCGGAGGGGAGTGGTTGCGGGGTTGCTGGAAATGGCTCGTCGAAGGGGGGGCATGGGGGAGAAGACGGAATGAATGTGTTGCCAAATGCGATGCCGTGTAAAAGTTTCCCCAGCACATGTGTGTCAGTATGTGTGTGTGTGTGTGTGTGTGTGTGTGTGTGGGATGATGGAGCGTTATTTAAATGGTTTTTAGGTGCGTGCGTGCAAAAATGTTGGTAGGTAGGTAATGAGTTTGGGCGCAGCAAGGATATGTTAGTTTCCCCCAAAATGTGAAAGAAATGGTGCGCATTTATGTAACTTTGTATGTGTGTGTGTCTGAGGGTATGGCTGAATGTATTTGTTAGTCCTTTGGCTTTTTATGGCACGTAAACTAAAAGGGTATGTATAAATACATACAAGTATGTATATACATGCTACATATTGCCCGTATTTCCTAAGTGGCCTTAAAAACTGAGTTTCTCCCCAGCAGCCATGAGCATTTCCAAAAATAGATTTGTAGTGATGAGACAACAACACTTTTTGTATCGAATATACTAACGCAGATTACTTTAAATGCATATTAAGTCTGTACCAAATTCTTAAAGTTTTCTCATTTTAATAAAGGCTGTCTTAGAACAACTACGGATATGCTTGTATAAGTTTTGCGAATCAGCGATAAGGAAATAAATAAAGCGTTTTATGAAATGTTCGACTTAAACAATATTTCATAAACAAGTTTCCGATTTAAAACCTAAGCCGCTGCTCACACAACTGTTAGATATAAGCAAATATAACTTTTATACACATAATATATATACAAGTTAATAGAACAAAGAAAGAGACTTGTTGAGTCTCGAAAGTTGATTGTTTAATACCTACCTTTCAATCATATTTTTGCCAGTTATATGACACAAATTTTTTTTAAATTGAATAATTAAACAGCAACATTTTGACATCAATAAGTATAACTTTTTTGGGAAGAGAATTTGTACCGATCCATTTAAATGTGTCGCAATATGTGTGAAATATTTCAACATAAGCTTATTATTATTGTAATAAGAAGATAATCTACCGGATCAGAATACTATTGGGTGAGTAAAATAATATACCTTCTTTGTTTTTAAAGTAATCTAAAAATCTGTGAATGTTGTGAATTTAAATTATTTTATAAAACATACATGAAGTTAAGTCCGATTACAATGCTATTTTACTCTCGAATAATTGCTTAAAGTGTTGCTTTAATTGGATGGTAAATGAAATTAAAAATATAGAAACTTACAGATTTTATGAACGAATTGATGTCACAAATAAAGCGTCAGATGACTTAGCGACAAAGTGGATATATTTCCAGATCTTGGCCCGGGTGGAATATGAAAATACAATTTGTTCTAGTAAGCATACACATTGGTGAGCAAATTATTTGCCAGTGTGACCGACCCTTCTCCATCTGTTACGAACATTTCTTTTAGGGCGACTCGACTTACTTAATAGCTTTCAAGTAGAAACGTGCGCCAACAAAAACTTTGCATGCCTAAATGCTTGGAGGTACTTTCTTCCCGGAGGAAACACGCGCGCACACACACACACACACACACAGGCACAAATCATTTCACACACACACACACACACCTACAGAGATATATAGCTACATAGTCCGACGCACACATGATAAGAATGCTTATGTGAATTATCGCACATTTTATGCTATTGCGGGCGCATCTTTAGAGCTAAACTCACACACACACCCACACACACACACACACACACACACACACACACACACACACACACACACACCACCCACTCTAACACTAACACTTGCACTGAATGTGGGGGAAGGGAGTGAAGGGAAAAACTAGAAAACTTGTCTAAAAGTGCGCGCTACTCATATCTTTTTAAGAAGACGTACCGACAGTAGCGCATAAAAACTTTTAAATTTACTTTTGCCAAGAGTTTTTCCGCCCCCTTGCCCACAGTCACGCCCACGTCCCATGCATATTCATTTCAAAAATCCACAGTGCGCCCTTCGCTCCCCTACCCCTTCACATATCCACACACACACACACACACACACACACACACACATGCACGCAAGTTTTCTTATAAACTTTTCACCCGCCTCTTGCTGCTTCTCCCCGCCATGCCAGCGGCATGCCCAGCAATCAACGGACTATGGCTGTGCGTTCCAGTTCCCATCTCATTCCCCACCCACATCCCCTATCCCGTTACTGCCTATGCCGCTCTGCGGCGCTTAATAGAGCTGCCAAAAATGCTGTGCCTCAGGTTGCGCCTCGCTTGTCTGCTAGCGCCGCATTCCATCTGTTCTGCCCAAAATTGTTCGCTTTTGAGAAGCCCGTCCGCCCGCCTAAGCCAATTCCCTCAGTGGCTGGACTGGGAGGGCAGAGACGGGGGCGGAGGCGAACGCAGAGACAGTCGAGTATGTGCAAGGATTTTCAGTCGGCTGTCTATTCCGTTGCACAGTGGGCGAAAGTGCGATCGTAAGTACAGACGAACTAGACTATTAAGCTTTATTTCTACATTCTACTTCTACCTTACAACTTATCTTTCGCAAACTACTACTAAGCTTTATTTTTATTTTCTACTTCTACCTTACAACTTATCTTTCGCAAACTGTTAAATGAATGCCAAAAATATTCCTTTAAAGAAATGATGTCAGATCACATTAATATGTGATTATAACTTATGAAATATAATATTTTTGTAACGATTAATATTTATAATGATGAAGATTAGATACACATACTTACATAGGTATAGTAGATAGATAGATTTTAAAGGGTGTCATGAAAAAGGAGTTCGCTTTGTTTTCTGAAAGTGTTGGAATGCGAATTAGACTTTAATATGTTTCTAAAGCTGATAGCCTGTCAAAAACTTTTGCAAAAGAACTTATGCCAATTGTTGAAATAGAAAACAAAAATTGGAAAAATGAGAAAAATATTGTAAATTGTAGATCCATGCTTAAGAAATAAAGAAAAGGTAAATTTAATAACCGATAAACCGCATATAATACGAGTTTATTTATCAGCAAGGCAAGAAAGGGAATCTATGTAATGCATATATGTACTTTTCGATCGGGTTTTAAGAGGCTAAGTAAATGCTTTCAGAAGTTTTGACAATTCTCTTTATTTCCAGCTTTTTACGATTGGGTTTTAAGAAGCTAAGTAAATACTTTCAAAAGTTTTGACAATTCTCTTTATTTCCAGCTCTTTACGATCGGGTTTTAGGAAGCTAAGTAAATATTTTCAGAATTTTTTATTTGCAATTCTCCTAATTTCCAGTTGACCCTCAGTTATATAATACGAGTTTATCAGGAAGGCAAGAAAAGGAATCAATTTAATGCATATATGTACTTTACGATCGAGTATTAAGAAGTTAAGTAAATATTTTCAGAAGACTGAATTCTCTTAATTTCCAGTTAAGCCTCAATTTAAGATAGTTCGGATATCGGCCGCACATTTTTAATTGGCCGATCATTTTCGAACCCACAGTGCACCGCTGGGGCTCAACTCCGCCCATGCTCACTTGTCCAAGTTGAGCTTCGAATTTGGCGCAGTAAAAAGGCAGCGGGAAATTTTGTTGTAAAATGTTGCCACGTATCCTGCAGCAATTCGTAAACTAATTCTACATACGTGCCCGTGTCAGGCTGTGTATTCCGTTCCCCGTGCCCCCGCACCTACCCGCCCGCGTCCTCCCATACCAGCACCGGCACCCGCACCCGCATCCGCTCCCGCACCCGATCCCACTCACATGGCATGTCTTGGCAGCAGCGCCCAAATCTATACGTGCGTTTGGCTGTTTGTGCGTCATGTTTTGATTGCCGTCATGTACACGGATGGATTCGTACGCTTTTTCATTGCTATTGCTAT